CAGAGAAGCTCAGAGGGGTCTGGAGGAGCCAGAGAAGCCCAGAGGGGCTCAGAGGAGCTCAGAGGAGCTCAGAGGGGCTCAGAGGGGTTCAGAGGAGCCCATAGGAGCTCAGAGAAGCTCAGAGGGGTCTGGAGGAGCCAGAGAAGCCCAGAGGGGCTCAGAGGAGCTCAGAGGAGCTCAGAGGGGCTCAGAGGGGTTCAGAGGAGCCCATAGGAGCTCAGAGAAGCTCAGAGGGACCTGGAGGAGCCAGAGAAGCCCAGAGGGGCTCAGAGGAGCTCAGAGGAGCTCAGAGGGGCTCAGAGGGGTTCAGAGGAGCCCATAGGAGCTCAGAGAAGCTCAGAGGGGTCTGGAGGAGCCAGAGAAGCCCAGAGGGGCTCAGAGGAGCTCAGAGGAGCCTGGAGGGGCCAGAGAAGCCCAGAGAAGCCCGGGGGAGCTCAGAGATCATGTCCCATCTGTGCCATCCACGTCCCATCTGTGCCACCCACGTCCCATCTGTGCCACCCACGTTCTCCCCCGTGCCACCCACGTCCCACCTGTGCCCAGGTGAGGCCCCGAGCGGGGCCACGGCGCCAGGTGTGTCCCCGTCCCTTCCCCGCGGCCCTTCCCAGCTCGGAGGGGTGGGCAGGCAGCCAGGCACACCCAGCTCGGCCGGGCAGTAAAACGATCCCGCTGTCGCCCCGGGGCCAAGCCCAGCTCCCCCGGCCGATAAAAGGGGCGGCGGGAGGGACACCGCCCTCACTGCCCCGAGCTTCGGCAAAGGCGCGTGGGATTCGGGAATACCCTCTGGAGCAGCCATGTCCCGCTCCGTCAGCTTCAGCTCCCGCTCGGCCGCCGGCCCGGCCGTCACCCAGGTCCGGGTGAGCTCCGTGTCCTCCACCCGCGGGCTCGGCGGCTCCGGGCTCGGCCGCGCCGGCGGCTTCGGCAGCTCCAGCCTCTACAGCCTGGGCTCGGCCAGGAGGGTCTCCGCGGCGGGGAGCGGCTCCTACAGCGTCCGCTCGGGCTTCGGCTTCGGGAGCGCGGGGCTGGGCGCCCTGAGCCCCGGCGGCATCCAGGAGGTGACGGTGAACCAGAGCCTGCTGACCCCCCTCAACCTGGAGATCGACCCCAACATCCAGAGGGTCCGCAAGGAGGAGAAGGAGCAGATCAAGACCCTCAACAACAAGTTCGCCTCCTTCATCGACAAGGTGAGGGCTGGGGGGGCGGGATCGGGGCTCTGGGGGGCGCAGGTGGGACCCAAAATGTGCTTTTAGAGCTCTGGGGGAGCTGCTGAGCACCCAAAATGTGCTCAGAGCTCTGGGGGAGCTGCTGAGCACCCAAAAATCTGCCCAGAGCTCTGGGGGAGCTGCTGAGCACCCTGAATCTGCCCAGAGCTCTGGGGGAGCTGCTGAGCACCCAAAATGTGCTCAGAGCTCTGGGGGAGCTGCTGAGCACCCAAAAATCTGCCCAGAGCTCTGGGGGTGCTGCTGAGCACCCAAAATCTGCCCAAAGCTCTGGGGGTGCTGCTGAGCACCCAAAAATCTGCCCAGAGCTCTGGGGGAGCTGCCGAGCACCCAAAATGTGCCCAGAGCTCTGGGGGAGCTGCCGAGCACCCTGAATCTGCCCAGAGCTCTGAGGGAGCTCCTGAAACACCAGATGGGACCAAAAATCTGCTCGAGAGGGGACCCAAAATCTGCTCAGAGGCTCTGGGGGAGCTGCTGAGCACCCAAAAATCTGCCCAGAGCTCTGAGGGAGCTGCTGAGCACCAGGGGGGACCCAAAATCAGCACCAGAGGGACCCAAAATGTGCTCAGAGCTCTGGGGGTGCTGTTGAGGACCCAAAAACTGCTTTTAGAGCTCTGGGGGAGCTGCTGAGCACCCAAGATGTGCTCGGAGCTTTGGGGGAGCTGCTGAGCACCCAAAAAAATCTGCTTTTAGAGCTCTGGGGGAGCTGCTGAGCACCAAATGGGACCCAAAATGTGCTTAACCCGGCTGGGAAATCATGAGCAGGCTCGGGATCAACCCTGAAGGATGGGCTGGGATAAATTCTTAAGGGCGTGGTGGGATCTGGTCTGTCCCCAGATCGGTGGAGGGACCTGGGGTCTGTCCCCCAGCTGGAAAAGGGACCTGGGGGTCTGGCCCTGAAACTGGAAAAGGGACCAGAGGTCTGTCCCCCAACTGGAAAAGGGAACTGAGGTGTGTCCCTCAACTGGAAAAGGGACCAGGGATCTGTCCCTCAACTGGAAAAGAGACCAGGGATCTGTCCCTCAACTGGAAAAGAGACCAGGGATCTGTCCCTCAATTGGAAAAGGGACCAGGGGTCTGTCCCTCAATTGGAAAAGAGACCAGGGATCTGTCCCTCAGCTGGAAAAGGGACCAGGGGTCTGTTCCCCAACTGGAAAAGGGACCTGGGGTGTGTTCCTTAGCTGGAAAAGGGACCAGGGGTCTGTCCCCCAACTGGAAAAGGGACCAGAGGTGTGTCCCTCAATTGGAAAAAGGACCAGGGATCTTCCCTCAATTGGAAAAAGGACCAGGGATCTTCCCTCAATTGGAAAAGGGACCAGGGGTCTGTCCCTCAATTGGAAAAGAGACCTGGGATGTGTTCCTCAGCTGGAAAAGGGACCAGGGGTCTGTCCCCCAACTGGAAAAGGGACTGGGGGTCAGTCTCTCAACTGGAAAAGGGACCAGGGGTGTGTCCCCCAACTGGAAAAGGGAACTGAGGTGCGTCCCTCAACTGGAAAAGGGACCAGGGGTCTGTCCACCAAGTGGATAAGGGACCAGAGGTCTATCTCCCAGCTGGAAAAGGGACCTGGGGTGTGTCCCCCAGCTAGAAAAGGGACCTGGGGTGTGTCCCCCAACTGGAAAAGGGACTGGGGGTCAGTCTCTCAACTGGAAAAGGGACCAGGGGTGTGTCCCCCAACTGGAAAAGGGACCAGGGGTCTGTTCCCCAACTGGAAGAGGGAACTGAGGTGTGTCCCTCAACTGGAAGAGGGAACTGGGGGTCTGGGCCCAAACTGGAAGGGGCCAGGGGGGTCCATCCCCCAGCTGGAAGGGGGAACCTCCCCCTCTGCACCCCAATCCCTCTCGTTCCTGGGTTTATCAAAGCCCTGCTGGTTTGTTCTCAGAAAAGGGCTCTGCCCTCAGCAAAGGGCTCTGCCCTCAGAAAAGGGCTCTGCCCTGCCCTGCCCAGCTTGGCTTTGTTGTGCCCCTTCCTGGACCTGCTGCTGCCCAAATGGGGGGCAGGGTTTAAAAATCTGCTCCCTCCCCCCCCAACCCAGACCCGAATTCGGGGAGGGGAAGGTTGTCCCAGCAGGGCAGAGACTGGTAAAGCAGAGACTGGTAAAGCAGAGACTGGTAAAGCAGAGCTGGGTAAAGCAGAGCTGGGTAAAGCAGAGACTGGTAAAGCAGAGATGGGTAAAGCAGAGACGGGTAAAGCAGAGATGGGTAAAGCAGAGCTGGGTAAAGCAGAGCTGGGTAAAGCAGAGACTGGTAAAGCAGAGATGGGTAAAGCAGAGACGGGTAAAGCAGAGACTGGTAAAGCAGAGACTGGTAAAGCAGAGATGGGTAAAGCAGAGACTGGTAAAGCAGAGACTGGTAAAGCAGAGCCGGGTAA